AATATCTGTGATGTGTTCAAAACCATCATTGGGTTTTGAGTCTTCTTAAAGAGATGCAGAGTCACATTTTAAAGGATTGTATGAGTAACTGCATGGAGCTGCTCTGACTGAGACCGGCCAGGGCCCTGGAGGCCTTTGAGAGAGAGCTACATTCCAAGAAACCTTTGTTTTGTTTGTTTTTGCTGGGAGGGGGCATGTTCTATCTCCGGCTCTTGTTCTGAGTCTTTCTCCAACAGGGGATTTTTGAGACTCATGGCTGAGAAACTTATCAGTGGATACACATCCAGCTGCTGTAAGGAAGAGCCTCTGTCAATCACCACGCCCTGTCTACTCCCCTCTCATGAGTCCATTCTAGGTAGACCGGCTGGTGGTCAGGCTGGTAGGCAGCTCTGAGACTAGACCTGATTCCTGATCCTGTCTTTTGCTAATTAAAAAAAAAAATTGTCTCAAAAACAAAACAAAAATCCAAATTATTATTGTTGTTGTTTTACAAAACCAAAAGTTTAAGTGACATACATAAGATTACACAGCTAGTGGGCTAGAGAGATGGCTCAGTGGTTAAGAGCACTGACTGCTCTTCCAGAGGTCCTGAATTCAAATCCCAGCAGCCACATGGTGGCTCACAACCATCCGTAATGAGATTGGATACCCTCTTCTGGTGTGTCTGAAGACAACTACAGTGTACTCATAAATAAAATAAATAAATAAATCTTAAAAAAAAAATTACACAGCTAGAAGGTGGTGGTGACAGGATTGGAATCAACTGTCTGACATTGTCCCTTTCGATGGTGTGGCTGCATAAAGTAAGTTCTTCTGTCTTGGGGGTCTCCACTCTCTCCCTTTGTAAGAAATAAATCATTATCATTTTCAGGGCATTTAGAATTCAATGCTGATGGAGCATGCACACATGCACACACACACACACACACACACACACACACACACACACACCAGCACTTGAGAGGCAGAGGCACGTAAGCTCTGAGAGTTCAAAGCCAGCCTACTCTACATAGTGAGTTTCAGACCAGCCAAGGCTACACAGTGAGACCCTCTCTGGCTCCTCTCTTCTTTCTTTCCTTCCCTCTCTCTATCTCTCCCTGTCTTTCTCTTCTTCCCTTTCTCTCTCTCTCCCTCACTTTCTGCTGTCTGTTTCCCTCTCTCTTACACACACACACACACACACACACACACACACACACACACATGCAGGCCTCTGTCTTCCCTAGCTAGCAGTTGGTGCCTGCTTCCTGGGTATATTTTAGTTTATTTTAGACTTGAAAAGTTACAGAGAGTAGGCTATGTGACTGAGCCCCTGCAAAGGAGAGCATCTTGAATTCCAGGTTTATCTAGAACATTAGATAGAACTAGGCTTTGCATTCGGAAAGAATAGGATGGGAAATTTGGAGGGGGCGATGTAGACACCAGGAAGACTGTCCGTCCCTAAAGAACTTAGCTGAAGAGGAATTCATGGGGCAGGGAAATGTGGTTAGGAATATACAAAAACACAATTCTGTGCCAAATTGGCAGGCCAGCCATTTTGATGTTTTCTGTAGCCTGACACCTGACTTCATAAGGTCAAAAAAATAATCTACCTTGATATTGCTTTTCTGCATCCCTAGTACTCTTACTGTGAAGTGAGGGCCAATTTTTCTTATACCATCTGTAAAGTGGTATAGGCCCCAAGATAACTTTCTGTTTCTGTCTTTATTTTTCATGTTGGCTTGGTCTGCATATACATACATACCTACATACTTACATACCTACATACCCATATACATATACATACACATATACATGTATATATGTGTATGTCTATGTGTGTGTGTAATGTGTGTAGTAAAAAGTGCTGTAATCCAGAGGTGTTGATGAGGATAATTATACTTGCTTACAAGAAGAGACACAGCTTTTGTGAGAGAGATAACTCAATGGTTAAGAGCACTGAATCTTCCAGAAGACCTGGGTTCAACTCCCAGCACCCACATGGTGGCTCACAACCATCTGTGACTCCAATTCTAAGGACTCTTCTTCTGAGCACCAGGCATGTATATGGTACACAGTCACACACGCAGGTAAAACACCCATGTAGAGCAAATAAAGTTAAAAAAATATGAAAGAGAAAACTCACAGGGCTGAGGAGAAGTTTCACCTGTTAAGTTTATTGCTCTTCTGGAGGACCCAGCAATGTAGCTCCTGTTCCAGGAGATACTATGCCCTCTGGCCTCTGTGGGGGCTTGCCTATGTATGAGACTGCCAAACAATAAGAACTTTAAAAATAGAGTGTTTGGAATTTCCTTTAAAATAATTCAGGGATGACAACAGAGTAGGAATTATAAATGAAACGAGACTGCTTATGAAATACTTAATTATAGTATAATTGCATTATACTATAGTATATCTATTCATGATGCACATGAACTCACACAGGCATACATACATACATATCCATCCATCCATACATACATACAATTTTTAAATTATAAAAAGTAAAAGAGCCAGGCAGTAATGGTGCATGCATTTGGTCACAGCACTGAGGCAGAGGCAGGTGGATCTTTGTAAGTTCTAAGCCAACCTGGTCTACAGAGCCAGTTCCAGGACAGCCAAAGCTACACAAAGAAACCCTGTCTCAAAAAACATAAGTAAGTAAACAAACAAATAAGTAAGACATGGAGGATTCTTCTGACAACGGAAACAGGAACTGAGTTGAGATTGGCCTCTGAACAGGTCTCTATAAGGGGGGTGCTGAGACCACTCATTGGATTACAACTACCCAACTGCGCAAGCCCAGAGATCAGAATTCTATCCTCAGAACACACATAAAGGTGGAAAAAGAGATCCAGCTCCACAGAACTATTCTCTGATTTTCTCACACTGATATGCAGCCCCACCCACAATAATAAACAAATTACTGACTTACTTAACAGTTTACAAGAATCACAAAAATGACCACTACACCTTTGAAGAAAATAAGTCTATCCTTGGCAGGAATCAAAGACATCCAGTTAGAATAATAAAGATGGCCTGGGGATGTAACTCAGTCGGAAGAGTGCTTGCTTTGAAAATGTAAGGCCCCAGGTTTGCCCCTCAGCACAACCTAAAAACAGAAATGGTAGTATACATCACTTGGGAGGCAGAGGCAGGAAGACCAGAAGTTCCAAGTCACCCATGTCTGTGTGGTAAATTCAGCATCAGCTTGAGCTAAAGAAACCTTGTTCCGTGCTGGGCAGTGGTGGCGCACGCCTTTAATCCCAGCACTTGGGACACAGAGGCAGGCAGATTTCTGAGTTCAAGGCCAGCCTGGTCTACAGAGTGAGTTCCAGGATAGCCAGTGCTGCACAGAGAAGAGAAACCCTGTCTCGAAAAACCAAAAACCAAAAACCAAAACCAAAAAAAAAACCCATGTAAATATTATCCAGAAAGACATTTCTTTGCAAAGAAAAATCTAACTGGAATTAGATCAAGCGTCTATAAATAGCTATCAATTTTATAGACAACAGAGAGAGAACATCTGAATGACACCCAAGAATTCAATCAGCACAATCTCTCTCTCTCTCTCTCTCTCTCTCTCTCTCTCTCTCTCCCCACCCCGTGTGTGTGTGTGTGTGTGTGTGTGTGTGTGTGTGTGTGTGTGTGTGTTGACTTTTCAAAACAGAGTTTCTCTATGTAGCCCTGGCTGGCCTGGAACTCACTAATTGACCAGGCTGGCCTGAAACTCAGAGATCTGCCTGCTTCTGTCTCCCAAATGCTGGTATTAAAGGCAAGCACCACCACCCACCGGCAAAAGTTTTCTCAACAACTGATTTCAAGAGAAAAAAAAATGAAAGGAAGAATGAAGAAAGATTACACATTTAAAGAGACAGCAAACCTGTCAGCCAAATTTAACCAGCCATGTAACCTTGCTTGACTCATACTCAAACAAATTAAACATCAAAGGGGCAGGAAAGTGACTTGTGGGGTAGAGGTGCAGGGAGGGCGTGACTACTTGACAACTCATTCCTCAGAGCTCCAGCTGAGCTCTGGTCGCCACCTCTGCAGCCCAAGCAGAACTTAGAGGAGGATCTCAAAGGGAAGGAAAAGGGAGGTCGGCACCTTGTGAGCTGACTTTGGGCTAGACAGAAGGCCAGTCATTCTTTAACAGATAGGGAAACTGACGGTCTGAGAGAAGCAGTGTGTTCGCTGGTGGGCGCGTCCTTCCTTAACACTCCCTGAAGCCAGCTGTGGGATGAAAAGCAATTCACCTGCCACAGGGACTCCTTTAACGGTCTGGGTTAGTCTCCCTTCTCTCTATGAGCCCTGAAAGGCAACCAGAGCTTTAGTCTCGGTGCCAGGCATTTCTGTCTGTCTGGGACAAGAACTCGAGGTGGCCAGAGGCCTGGGGTTTGGTGCTGGGTTTGCCCTGACACAGCCTGAGCTCACTGCTCACCTAGACAGCTAGGATGAGCCATAGTTCTTGGACCGCTCTGGGCACCTGGAGGATGGCCCCCTCAGCTCACTACAGACCCCTCAGGCCTCCAGGCAGGTGAGACTGTACCTTTTTTCTGTCTGTCTCCCAAAGGTGGTGCTGGTCCTGCCTGGGCCACTGACCCTTTCAGGCTCCCCTTCCAACACGATGCCCTTTGGAACCTTCCCCTGGATGCTCTGGCTGGAGGGCGGCCACACCCTGCTGCTGAACCTCCGCCCATGCCTGCTGGTCCTCGCCAACTCTCTAGACATCCGGTTGCCACATTCCTTTCCCCAAATCTTTCTTTCCCCGTTTGTTCCTGCCATTCCTTATTTCTTTCCTTCTTATGTGTGCTTTTCTCAAACTCCCTTCGCTTGCTCTGCTCACCCACATGCATTTATCTCGAAAGCCTCTTTCGCTCCCAGCCTCTCCTTTCTTACTCATCTTTCTCCTTGATCTCCTCCCTTTTCTGTCCTTCTGTATCTCTGATTCTTTCACCATCTCCGTTCCCTCCCTCCGCTTTTCCCGGTGTCTCCGTCTCCCTCTCCTCTCTCATTCCTACCTCGCCGTCCGGGGGTGTCCCTGGAACCCTGGCCCCATTCGCCCGACCCGGCGCGGAGCAGGGCGAGCCCGGTCAGCGCGCAGAGTAGCGGCTGCATGGTACGGAGCCACCGAGTGCAGCGGTTTGTCCGTAGTCGCCTCCCGGGGATCGCGCCCGCCCGGCCCAAGGAAATGCAGTCCGAGCCAAAATTCCTGGGCGGCTCCGGGTTTCTGGCTCCAGAGAACCCGCCCGCCCCCTCTAGAAACCCCACCGTACCCTGCAAGAAGGCGCAGCCCCGGGATCCTATCCCAAAGACAACCTCTCCATCAGGGCCTCTAGTCCAGCTTCCCACCCTACTCCTGCCCTTGAGGACCAGGCACCGAAGGAGGCTCTAGGCTCTACTTCTGAGCCCATTTCACAGACAGCCAGATTGAGCCCAGGAATGAGGACCTTCCTCTGTGTCCCTCCCAGGTTGACACAAGTTCTGAATCCCAGACACATAGGATCTTGGGATTGTTCTCTGCCTACCTCTGAAGGCTAATGGGACCGGATGGAGGAAACTGAAGGCTTAGTGTCTGCCCTCTGCAGAAACCCACTGGTAAAGCCCATTTAACTTCTCCCTAAGGAGCGAAGACGTGAGATGCTACAAGCCGTCCAAACAGCTGCCCAGGCCTAGGATATTGACCCGTCTGTGTATTCGAGGGCGCCTTGCTTCGGAGGCACCTGGGTTTCCCCACACAGTGAGCAATGAATCCAGCAGTAATCGAGTTTATCACCAGCAGAATTTACAATTCTAGAGAGAAGAGTTATTTTGCACCTTTATCAGTTACTTACAAGTTACAACTTTAAAGCAGTTTAAAAGCAAGGGATAGTAGCCGCATAGTGGTAGAGCAGGCCTTTAATTCCAGCACTTGGGAGACAAGGCAGGAGGATCTCTGTGAATTTGAAGCCAGCTTGGTCTACACAGCGAATTCTAGGACAGCCAAGGCTACATAGTGAGACCCTATCTCAAAACAAAACGAAACAAACAAAACAATTAAAAAAAAAAAAAAAGGCAAGGAATGGCCCAGAGACTTAGTAAATTGAAGTCAGAGCAGATAGCAAATGTGCTAGCCCTGCATTAGTCAATGTTTGGTAAGTGAAAAAGAAATAAATTAAAAGGAAGGACATGACTGCTCCTAGGTATGGTGGAGGTGAGAGTTTTTTGTAGCTAGAAGAGAGAACACAGCCAGAAGCAGAGGCATCTGGGAGAGCACAGAGCCGACATGACCCTGAACCATGTGAGGAGCATGGGGAGAAGCAGGAAGAAGGGAAAGAGGGAAGCTGTTACAGCAGCCAGGAGGGCAAAAGGCAAAGAGGGAAAGGTAATCAACATGGCTGGATTACATAGGGAGCCTCTGGGGGGAAGGGTAGCCCGAAGCTGGGCTAGAGATTAGGGGTTGGGAGTAGTGGATAGAGTAGGCTGGCCACAGCCTGTAACAGGTAGGGACTGAGGGATGCTGGGAGAACCTGGGGGCCAGGTCCTCTTTGATATGAAATAGGCACCTCAGCCATTTGTCCCAGGGTTTGGGATTTAACATTTGCTAGTCTCTAGGAGAGGAGAAAATGGAAACAAGCCACATGTTTACATAGGTACCTATAGTCCCAGACGCCATTATGCTATAAACCAGAGCTAAGCCGAGAGGAGCTGCATCTACCATACTGTCTCTGAACCCCAGGGGTCATCCCACGGGGGGCCTATCATCATACCCATTCCAAAGATCAAGAAGTTGAGAATCACAGAGTTTAAAGAAATTTGCTGATGGCCACACATTTGGATGATGTGGAGTCAGGGTTCAAATCTCCACGGCCTCTGCAAGCAAACATTTAGATAACAACATACCTTATGCTTAGTTCTGTCTCTGTGCTAAGCAAGTGGCCAGGGAAGGGTGGGATGGAGGTAGAGAGGGTTTGTGTCTTCTACCTAAGATCGAGTGTGTTTGTTTTGTTTTGTTTTTTCCCAGTGAACTTCAAACCATCCCAAACCCCCTGCAGTTTGGACCACTACTGATGCTTCACTTGGGGAACACACCAATCCTATAAGTGTAAAAACAAACTGAACCGTAAAGCAAGAAAGGTGATGCTAGTGAATCTTCAGAGCCCACGAGCAGTGCTCCTAGCTGCAGGCTGAACACCTTTGTGGCCAAGCACGGGAGAACGGTTTCATCAAGTGTCAATCTGGACTCAAGAGACTGTCTGAGGGTCACGGCTGTTAAATTACATGTTTGTGTCTGAATGGGTACAGACGCCCAAAGAGGGTGTTAGATACCCTGACCCTGGAGTTACAGGCAGTTGTGATCACCCTTGATGTGGGCTCTCTGTAAGAACAGTGAGTGCCCTTCCTTGCTAATCTGTCTCTCCAGTCTCTGCAGCATCAGCTTGTTATATCAACCGTGCAGCTGTTACACACCACAGTCTCTGCATTAATCAGTAGCCTTTCCTCCTCGGCTCCCTCGCTCTTATAGGCCATGGGCTCTGACACAGAATTTCAAACTAGGAGTCATCAGGTCTGCCACCAAGACTTGGATCTAACCCTTACAAAGCACCCCCACCCCTTGAGGATTAGGATGTCCAGATCAGCTGGCTTAGGAGGAAGGATTTATCTCAGTAATACCAAGAATTGGCTACACTAGATAGGGCACTCTGATTCAGCTTAGCCAGGCATGAGATTGTAGAACAAAGCGAAACCTAAACCCACAAGAATTTTTGCAGCTTAGAGCCAGTGAGCTACTTAATTATTTGAATTTAAAAGAAGAAAACACAAAACTTGGCATTGGTGTTACATATCTGTAGCCCAGAACTCAGAAAGTGTAGGCAGGAAGACATGGGGAGAAGGCCAGACCTAATGACATAATGCGACCCAGAATCTAAATAAATTAATAAGTGAATAAATGAGTAACATACGCAATAGTAACATAATGCAATTATCGTGAAATCACAAAGTCTGGGCCCATGCTCAGTGGGTAAAGATGCCTGCTGCCCTGCGTTTGCGTAGCTCTTTAATAAGCACCATGTAGTACACACACACACACACACACACACACACACACACGTAATTAAATTACAGGATTAAAAGTAATTAAATTAAAAAATAAATCAATTTGGTGAGTGAGGTGGCACACACCCATAATCTTAGCACTGGGAAGGCAGAGGCAGGTGGATTTCTGTGAATTTGACATGAGCCTGGTCTATATAACAAGTTCCAGGCCAGCCAGAACTACATAGTGAGACCCAGTCTCAAAAAAATTAATTATAAAAAGCAAAGTGATGAAGCATATAATGGAAAACATGAACGCCCTCTGTCACTCGCTGTCTCTTCTCGACCACAATAGTCCAGTCCCTGCAGCTTGGTGTCTTCTTCCTAGTCTCTGTCCACAAATTCTGTATCTATTTAATATATTTTCAGACATCTCTAGCTGGGCAGTGGTGGCGCACGCCTTTAGTCCCAGCACTTGGGAGGCAGAGGCAGGTGGATTTCTGAGTTCGAGGCCAGCCTGGTCTACAGAGTGAGTTCCAGGACAGTTAGGGCTACATAGGGAGACCCTGTCTCAACAAAACAAAACAAAACAAAACAAAGTATATGCGTATTTTTATTCCTATGTAGAAATCTTGTGAGTGTATGCTTCTTGTGAGTGTATGGTTCTTGTGAGTGTATGCTTCTTGTGAGTGTATGCTGCATTTGTGAGGTTGAAGGCAGAGAGCAGAAGAGAGAGTGGCATTCACCAGCTCACCAAGCTGGAGTCACCTTACATAGGTGCTGGGAACAGAACTCAGATCTTCTGGAAGAGCAGCAGGTACGCTTAAACACTGACCCACCTCCCCAGCCGAGGACACATGCTGGACTACTATCCAATTTCTAGTGCCAGAGGCTGAAGGGGAATTTGCCAATTAATATTTTAATGTTTCATTTCTCGGAGACATCACTGTACCAGGCCAATAACGAAGAAGGTTTTCACCCTCCACTAGAGGGCGCACTCTTTCCAGCGGTTTTGTGGGCATTTGCTTCCCATGGTTGGATGTGTAGGTAGGTTTTGTCTGAGCTCTGGCTTCCATACATTTCATAGATTTTCCTTCTTACCCACTTCTTGCCACCTTGTTCTATTGGAACCTCGAAAGACAGAGGTGGCATTGTCTTAGAGAGCCACGGAAGCCTCAAATCTTCATCTCGTGTGTGTGTGTGTGTGTGTGTGTGTGTGCGTGCGTGTGTGGTGCCTGTGCATGCAAGCGTCAGGAAGGTCAGAAAAGGATATCATATTCCCTGGAACTAGACGTGGATGGTAGGAACTGAACCTAGGTCCCCTGAAAGAGCAGCCAGTGCTCTTACCCACTGAGCCATCATCTCTCTTGGCCCTAAGAAGAAGTGAGAGACAAAATATTGGTAGTGGTAGAAGATTTGCTTGTTTTCTTACAAAATCCAGCTGAACTAGAATGATAGGAATCACTCCATTAAGCTGGCAGAACAGCAGTGTTTACGCTCTGTCACCCGCAGAAGTCACCCCAAACATTCCAAGGACATTACAGGACAATAGTTACTACCTATTTCAAGGGCCTCCTGCAGCGTTCTCCAGAAAGGAGCACTGACATTGGAATCGGAGGTGGGCATCAATGGACGGAACTAGAGAGATGGATATACCAGGCAGCCGCTAGGCGTCAAGTGCATGGGCAAGCTGGCTGGGCGCAGTGGGAGTAAGTGCCACCGTTCATTCTTATTCTGTCATTTTCAAAATGTCTTCTCTGAACCCAGTGCTCAGCGAAAGCTGCATACATAGGTCTTAGCACAGTGAGGCAACCAGGTACGAAATGTAGTCCTGTTTTTGTTATTTGATATAATGTATTAAATGGTCTGGGTACTCATGGCCACCCACAGAGGGAAGTGTTCTTTCTAGAGGAGCTACCCCAGCCTGGGATGTTCCCTTTTCCCTGCTGCAGAAAGCTGCTGAGAGGGGAATGTGAGGCTCAGAGGACCTCAGGGATGACCAAGCGACCCCAGCAGTTTGCTCCAATGTCACCTCAGGACGTGGATGTCATAGCCTGTTTTTGGGTCTCCTCGGCCTGGGCTGCTGGAGGACATATGTCTGGGAATC